TCTACTACTAAAAACAAAGAAGTTCTTGTCCTCAAAGTTTGATATGAAGGATCTCGGTGAAGCTTCGTTCGTCCTAGAAATAGAGATTCACCGAGATAGAGAAAAGGGGGTTTTAGGATTATCACAAAAGACATACTTAGAAAAAGTTCTAAAGAAATACATTATGCAAAATTGTAAGCCATCACCTGCTCCCATAGTCAAGGGCGACAGATATGGGGAATTTCAATGTCCTAGGAACCAATATGAGATCGATCAAATGAAAGCGGTTCCATATAGTTCAGCTGTCGGAAGTTTATAGTATGCTCAAGTGTGTACTCGTCCTGACTTAGCATTTGTTACCGGGTTGCTTGGCAGATATCAGAGTAATCCAGGAATAGAACACTAGAAATTAGTAAAGAAAGTTTTGCGTTACCTGCAAGGTACGAAGGGTCTCATGCTAACGTACACAAGATCTGATTCCCTGCACATAGAGGGGTATACAGATTCTGATTATGCGGGAGATGACAGAAAGTCCACGTCAGGATACATATTCACTCTCGCAGGAGGAGCTATATCGTGGAAAAGCTCAAAGCAAACTGTCACTACATCGTCCACAATGTATGCTGAGTTTGTAGCATTTTATGAGGCCACAGGGTAGGTGAATTGGCTGAAGAAATTCATGCCCGGGTTGAAAGTGGCAGACGACATACATAAACCACTCAAGTTATACTGCGACAATAATCCAGCAGTATGTTATGCTCACAACAATAAGTCAAGTGGTGCTGCCAAACGCATTGACATAAAGTATTATGTTGTGAAAGATAAAGTCCGAGATCATATAATTAGTCTTGAGCATATAAAAACAGAAAAGATGCTCGCGGATCCGCTTACAAAAGGCTTACCACCCAGCGTGTTCAAAGAACACTTAGCCAGCATGGGTTTAAGGGAAAGCCTATGATTCCTAAACAATAAGGGCCTAGTTGAAAATCTATTTCAAAACAGAGAGGTGCATTGTAGCTGTTTAATCTAATGGCAACTGACCGTGACGATGAGACACATTCTATGCACTGATCTGTGATGGAATGGGAACAAGATAAAGCAAGTAAGATGAGATTAAGTCATAAGGTGAGATCAAGGGGGAGAATGTTAGATGATCTCCAACCAATTGACCTAGGCCCTTGGATCCACGCCCTGATCGGGGACGTCCAACCCTATATGGTTGGTGGGCCCTGATCACACTACGCTATAAAGAGAGGTGACGGGCCGATGGCTCTCTTCACGAGGTTGAACCGAGCTACAGTCGCCCATCGAAAAACACTAGCCCGATCGAGACAGGGAGCACAGCCAGTGACGGGAAGCCGCCACCGTCTTCACTGCCGAGACCCGACGATGCCGCCCCTATACCGCACCACTTCACTGCTACATCGCCACCGCCTTCATCGACTCGGACCGCACCACCGTCATCGCCATGGACGGCTCCAGCAGTTCCTCCAAATCCTCTGATGGTCGGTAACCTATCACCTCTCTCTCTCTCTTCTCTCTATCTTCTAGGTTTATATGAACTATGACTTATTTATCACGAATGTAAGGTCTTTTACCCACTAATCTACACCTAGATGTATCTAGGGTTTTAACATGTTAACCCTGCAGCATCTCAAGAGTGGGAGAAGGAAAGCTAGTTTCAGTCAAGCTTCATCGATAGAAACCGCCGCATTAAGTAAAGAATAGATGATGAAAATTGTCATCACCAGCTGCAGCTGGGATCACTACATAGCCAACGGAAGAAAGGTGGTTCAGCAGCATTCTTGGACGGCCGGAACATCGGATGCTGAAGTAGGCTCTTCCTCAGCACATGCCTAATAGGCAACACCCTCTGACTACTCTGAGTCTGATTCAACCAAAACCTGCGCAGCAAATTCCCATCCCTATCACAGTGGAACAGCCCATGCCAGGACTCGATCAGCACATCCCCTTCGCTAACACAACAGCTGGAACCCAAGCATCTTCATGAAGGTGCAGAGCCGGCATCTGTTGGAGCGCCAGTTGAATCCGGTGCTTGAGGACCCAAACCTCGCTCCGGTAATCCTGTAGACACCAGAGATCTAGCGTTGCCACGTTCTCCCTGGAGACAGACAGGCCGAGGTTGCCGTCCGGGAATTCAAGCAGCCTCATGTGTTGGTCGTCCCTCAAGGTCACAGGAGGAGGTCTCGTCCAGCTGAAGTTCCTTAGTGTTGCGATTTTTGTGTATTGTTCACTATTTTTATGACTTTTCTAGGAATTACTGCCATATTTTCTCTCTTATTTTTTATATATATGTGACCATTGAATTGTTGCAAGAATGCTAATTCATTGTGTGATGATTTTTTTAGTTGTTCACTATTTTAGTGTCACTCGATGGAAAATTGTGCTGAACATACTAGATCCACCACTTCTCAGTTAGGATTTAGTGGAGCATTTAATTCTTTTAGGGCCGGTTCGACATTTAGTGGAGCACATGTGAATTAGATACTCCTATAATACTATTGCTATGGATCATGAAACTTGAACCAATTAGCTTGACAGATCCATTTCTTTCATATTCAAACTGTTTATCTTGTTCGTTGGACTGATATTTGTGATCACAGATTCAAACTTATCTTTAGTTGTCATAAACTCTTCAATTCAATGCTCTGTTCCAAGTTATGTTGGAAACCGGCAAGTTCCTGAACCATGTTGGGGAAGGGCAGCAGGCATTGTGCCTAATGATTTCTTGTTTGTTACAGGAATACTTTTGAAGCTTTGCAGGCTTCCATACATGGATGAAATTAGCCTTTTGTGTGTTAACCGAAGAATTGTTGGTTTTTTCTTGATGCACTCTTGCATGTCTCAGAAGGGCAGGCCTGATGCAGTGGTGAGAGCTGTCTCGCTGAGTCACCAGGTCGTGGGTTCGAAGCAGCCTCTCCGTAGATTTTGTGGGGAAAGACTTGTCTCGGTTGATCCCTTCCCCAGACCCCACTCATGTGAGAGCCTCCGGCACTGGGTCTGCCGTTTTTTTACTCTTGCTGTTATACTAGTATCTGTTAGGTTGCTTAGGGTGATGTCAAAGTCATATTTCATTGTTCACAGTTGTCAAAATCTAACTCTGCCATGAAATTGAATTTGAGCAGAGTCCATATCTGGCAAAGGTATTCTATACACTATATATTGTCGTATTATATTCAGAAATGCTATACAACGCACATGTGTTTTAGCACAAAAAAACACATGGATTTTTTTATCTCTCTCCCCCTCTCTTTCTCACCAGTGACCACACATGGCAGTGGCAGCGGCGGTGGTGGCGGCGGATTTGTGATTTATCCTTTCATAGAATTTTTTTTTATGATATGTGATATGTGATCTATGATCTGTGGAGGCTAGAGTTAGAAGAAGGGTGGAGGCTGTTGGATCTTAATCCTATCGTGCAAAAAAATTCATGTGTTGAAACTGTATAAAACACATAGTTGTGTAGTAGACAGACTTGTCGTCGGATTTTAGTGTTTTCTGTTATTACTGAAATAAAATAACAAGCTCCAGTCCATTTGATTGTAAGTTTGAAGTTCTCACGTGGATCTTGGAAGTTTGCCATCTCTTGCACAGAAATTGCTTCCTTTCAAGATTATTACAACTGAAATACTAAACAGGGACCAGAACTAGTAGTTCTGCTTCAACAATTCTCTTCGGTGCAGCCGTGCAGTGCAGTGCAGCTTCTCGACAGGAGCAGTGTACCTATTGCACTGGTACAGTTGCCCTCGTGCAATTCGTGTCAGCCCAGTGAAAAGAGACAGAGAGCAGTACAGATGGGAATGGTGTCGCACTCGATCCGCAGCTCCGCGCCGCCGCATACCCATGCATGAGCGGCAGGCGACGCGGCGTCACGCGCCAAGGCCCCGCCTGTTCCCTCCCACTGCCTGACACTCCGCCGCAGGTGCAGACTCTGCATCCGTGCATCGCCGACGGATCGGAGGCTGGTTCTGAAATCTTCTAAAGCTTCTATTTGAAGTCCTTGTGTCATGACATCTGCAGATTGTTGGCCTGTGGGAAAAAGTTTCATGATCCATAGAAAACAGTAGTAGCATATTTAGTTCATATATGCTCAACTGAATGTCCAAGTCCAACGGCATATAGTTAGAACGACTCCTTAACCTCTCTTTTTTTCCGATTAGAACGACTCCTTAGCTGAGAAGTGGATCTAGGATGTTTTAGCATATTCCACTCATGATTCAGGCAGCAGAGAGAAATAGCATAACCTCAACAAGTCACAAAAATCATCATAGTGGCATTACTGTAACAATTCAATGATCAGAATAGCAAGGGAGAAACCCATTCCCAAAAACCAGTCGAGTCAAACTTCCACTTCCATAGCTCTACCAAAAGGAGATAAGCATTTCTCAGTTCACAGAAAATTGTCAGATGCATTATTAGATCAATTTCCAAAATTAACGAAAGGTGGAAAGGGATGCTCTGCAACCAGAATACTGAATCATAGCACCTGAATGGCTGAATCTCTCACAATAATTCATGACCGTAACTTCAGCATCTCTGAATCCAACATACAGAGCATTGGAGTTGAGAATTTCATACAACCAATGGGAAAAAAACAGGAGCATACGGTCCCAAACTTCAGTCCAATGCAGAAGAGGTTTGCATATTCAGTTATATGAAAGAAATGGATCTGACAAGCTAATTAGTTCAAGATTCATGATCCATTGCAATAGTAGTATCAAACTTGAACATATCTGCTCAACAAAAGATCCAAGAGAGGTTTGCATATTGAATTATAGCGCCTGAATCTCACACATCCATTCATGTCCCAAACTTCAGCAAACATCCAACATACAGAGTATTTGAACGGCAGAGACTTTCATACCACCAAAGGGAAAAAAAAAGGAGCATATGGTCATGATTGTTAACCCTGCAGCATCTCAAGAGCGGGAGAAGGAAAGCTAGTTTCAGTCAAGCTTCATCGATAGCATCATGCAAAGCATAGATGCTGAAAATTGCCATCACCAGCTGCAGCTGGGATCACTACACAGCCAACGGAAGAAAGGCGGTTCAGCAGCATTCTTGGACGGCCGGGGCCGGAACATCGGATGCTGAACAAGGCTCTTCCTCAGCACATGCCTAATAGGCAACACCCTGTGACCACTCCGAGGCTGATTAAACCAAAACCTGCGCAGCAAATTCCCATTCCTGTCACAGTGGAACAGCCCATACCGGGACTCGATCAGCACATCCCCTTCTGGTGAGACAACAGCTGGAATCCAAAGATGTTCATCCTGCAGTAGAGCCGGCATCTGTTGGAGCGCCAGTTGAATCTGGTGCTTGAGCACCCAAACCTTGTTCCGGTAATCCTGTAGACACCAGAGATCTAGCGTTGCCACGTTCTCCCTGGAGACAGACAGGCCGAGGTTGCCGTCCGGGAATTCAAGCAGCCTCATGTGTTGGTCGTCCCTCAAGGTCACAGGAGGAGGTCTCGTCCAGCTGAAGTTCCTTAGTGTTGCGATTTTTGTGTATTGTTCACTATTTTTATGACTTTTCTAGGAATTACTGCCATATTTTCTCTCTTATTTTTTATATATATGTGACCATTGAATTGTTGCAAGAATGCTAATTCATTGTGTGATGATTTTTTTAGTTGTTCACTATTTTAGTGTCACTCGATGGAAAATTGTGCTGAACATACTAGATCCACCACTTCTCAGTTAGGATTTAGTGGAGCATTTAATTCTTTTAGGGCCGGTTCGACATTTAGTGGAGCACATGTGAATTAGATACTCCTATAATACTATTGCTATGGATCATGAAACTTGAACCAATTAGCTTGACAGATCCATTTCTTTCATATTCAAACTGTTTATCTTGTTCGTTGGACTGATATTTGTGATCACAGATTCAAACTTATCTTTAGTTGTCATAAACTCTTCAATTCAATGCTCTGTTCCAAGTTATGTTGGAAACCGGCAAGTTCCTGAACCATGTTGGGGAAGGGCAGCAGGCATTGTGCCTAATGATTTCTTGTTTGTTACAGGAATACTTTTGAAGCTTTGCAGGCTTCCATACATGGATGAAATTAGTCTTTTGTGTGTTAACCGAAGAATTGTTGGTTTTTTCTTGATGCACTCTTGCATGTCTCAGAAGGGCAGGCCTGATGCAGTGGTGAGAGCTGTCTCGCTGAGTCACCAGGTCGTGGGTTCGAAGCAGCCTCTCCGTAGATTTTGTGGGGAAAGACTTGTCTCGGTTGATCCCTTCCCCAGACCCCACTCATGTGAGAGCCTCCGGCACTGGGTCTGCCGTTTTTTTACTCTTGCTGTTATACTAGTATCTGTTAGGTTGCTTAGGGTGATGTCAAAGTCATATTTCATTGTTCACAGTTGTCAAAATCTAACTCTGCCATGAAATTGAATTTGAGCAGAGTCCATATCTGGCAAAGGTATTCTATACACTATATATTGTCGTATTATATTCAGAAATGCTATACAACGCACATGTGTTTTAGCACAAAAAACACATGGATTTTTTTTATCTCTCTCCCCCTCTCTTTCTCACCAGTGACCACACATGGCAGTGGCAGCGGCGGTGGTGGCGGCGGATTTGTGATTTATCCTTTCATAGAATTTTTTTTTATGATATGTGATATGTGATCTATGATCTGTGGAGGCTAGAGGTAGAAGAAGGGTGGAGGCTGTTGGATCTTAATCCTATCGTGCAAAAAAATTCATGTGTTGAAACTGTATAAAACACATGGTTGTGTAGTAGACAGACTTGTCGTCGGATTTTAGTGTTTTCTGTTATTACTGAAATAAAATAACAAGCTCCAGTCCATTTGATTGTAAGTTTGAAGTTCTCACGTGGATCTTGGAAGTTTGCCATCTCTTGCACAGAAATTGCTTCCTTTCAAGATTATTACAACTGAAATACTAAACAGGGACCAGAACTAGTAGTTCTGCTTCAACAATTCTCTTCGGTGCAGCCGTGCAGTGCAGTGCAGCTTCTCGACAGGAGCAGTGTACCTATTGCACTGGTACAGTTGCCCTCGTGCAATTCGTGTCAGCCCAGTGAAAAGAGACAGAGAGCAGTACAGATGGGAATGGTGTCGCACTCGATCCGCAGCTCCGCGCCGCCGCATACCCATGCATGAGCGGCAGGCGACGCGGCGTCACGCGCCAAGGCCCCGCCTGTTCCCTCCCACTGCCTGACACTCCGCCGCAGGTGCAGACTCTGCATCCGTGCATCGCCGACGGATCGGAGGCTGGTTCTGAAATCTTCTAAAGCTTCTATTTGAAGTCCTTGTGTCATGACATCTGCAGATTGTTGGCCTGTGGGAAAAAGTTTCATGATCCATAGAAAACAGTAGTAGCATATTTAGTTCATATATGCTCAACTGAATGTCCAAGTCCAACGGCATATAGTTAGAACGACTCCTTAACCTCTCTTTTTTTCCGATTAGAACGACTCCTTAGCTGAGAAGTGGATCTAGGATGTTTTAGCATATTCCACTCATGATTCAGGCAGCAGAGAGAAATAGCATAACCTCAACAAGTCACAAAAATCATCATAGTGGCATTACTGTAACAATTCAATGATCAGAATAGCAAGGGAGAAACCCATTCCCAAAAACCAGTCGAGTCAAACTTCCACTTCCATAGCTCTACCAAAAGGAGATAAGCATTTCTCAGTTCACAGAAAATTGTCAGATGCATTATTAGATCAATTTCCAAAATTAACGAAAGGTGGAAAGGGATGCTCTGCAACCAGAATACTGAATCATAGCACCTGAATGGCTGAATCTCTCACAATAATTCATGACCGTAACTTCAGCATCTCTGAATCCAACATACAGAGCATTGGAGTTGAGAATTTCATACAACCAATGGGAAAAAAACAGGAGCATACGGTCCCAAACTTCAGTCCAATGCAGAAGAGGTTTGCATATTCAGTTATATGAAAGAAATGGATCTGACAAGCTAATTAGTTCAAGATTCATGATCCATTGCAATAGTAGTATCAAACTTGAACATATCTGCTCAACAAAAGATCCAAGAGAGGTTTGCATATTGAATTATAGCGCCTGAATCTCACACATCCATTCATGTCCCAAACTTCAGCAAACATCCAACATACAGAGTATTTGAACGGCAGAGACTTTCATACCACCAAAGGGAAAAAAAAAGGAGCATATGGTCATGATTGTTAACCCTGCAGCATCTCAAGAGCGGGAGAAGGAAAGCTAGTTTCAGTCAAGCTTCATCGATAGCATCATGCAAAGCATAGATGCTGAAAATTGCCATCACCAGCTGCAGCTGGGATCACTACACAGCCAACGGAAGAAAGGCGGTTCAGCAGCATTCTTGGACGGCCGGGGCCGGAACATCGGATGCTGAACAAGGCTCTTCCTCAGCACATGCCTAATAGGCAACACCCTGTGACCACTCCGAGGCTGATTAAACCAAAACCTGCGCAGCAAATTCCCATTCCTGTCACAGTGGAACAGCCCATACCGGGACTCGATCAGCACATCCCCTTCTGGTGAGACAACAGCTGGAATCCAAAGATGTTCATCCTGCAGTAGAGCCGGCATCTGTTGGAGCGCCAGTTGAATCTGGTGCTTGAGCACCCAAACCTTGTTCCGGTAATCCTGTAGACACCAGAGATCTAGCGTTGCCACGTTCTCCCTGGAGACGGACAGGCCGAGGTTGCCGTCCGGGAATTCAAGCAGCCTCATGTGTTGGTCGTCCCTCAAGGTCACAGGAGGAGGTCTCGTCCAGCTGAAGTTCTCGTTCCATGTGTTGAACACCAGCAAGTGGTATCCCTGGCTCTGCTGCGGCGGCCAGAGCAGGTCCATGTTGCCGCGCTTCCACTGGATGGGTGGGGAGATAGAGGCCCTTTCCACCCCGGCCCCTAGACCATGGTCCTTGCGCACCGCCGGCGAGAGGGGGCGCCCGATGCACCGACGCTGCCCAGGCCTCACCTCGATGACGTGGTACGAGCAGGTCGGGGCTTCTTGGTCTCGGACGGTGGTATAGCTGCGGCTAAGGCACAGCACATGGTACTTGCCGGTACGGCCGTGCTCATAGAGCCCAATCACGTCCAAGCCAAAGGTCGTAGGATCGAAGAGGGAAACCCAGTGGCGCGTCGCGGGGTTGATGATGTACCAACGGCGACGCGAGGAGAAGGAGACGAGGAGGTAACCGTCGAGGGAAGCGTGGACCGTGACGTGGGGCTTCAGGATGGCGTCGCCGTAGTGCTTCATCCTTTCGTAGTCGACAACGTAGTCGTCCATGATGGGGGGAGCGTCACGGCCCTCGAGGTCGTACTCGTCGATGAAGTAGTCCTCGTTGTCGGTGAACCGGAAGACGGCGCGCAGCTTGCCGGAGCGGAGGTCGAGGGACTCGACGCAGTAGTCGCTGAGGTGGATGTAGCGGTCGGCGCAGGCGACGCGGTCGAAGCAGAGGAGCGGCTGCGGCGGCTCCGCGCGGTTGAGGCGGGAGAGGAGGGCCTCGTTGCACAGCTTGCCGCGCCACGCCCTGCAGACCGAGCGCATGCGGAGGATCCACTTGGGCGACAGCCGGCCGAGGAGCGCCTTGAGGACCTCGAAAGGGGCGTCGCGGATGAAGGCCGCGGCGTCGCCTGGTTCCGCCATTCTCTCCTGCGCTTCGCCTCGGGAATTTGTCGGCGCGCCGGGCGGGTGGTGGTGGTGGTCTGGTTGGTGGGTGGCGACTGCTCTTCTCCAACAGCACCAGCGAGCGGCTCGATTCTCCCTGCGAAACGCAAACGCGGCGGCGGGAATTAGCAACGAAACCGGCTACGGGAACACGGCAATTCGACGGAGGTGGGAACCAAATTGGGGCTCGGATGACCGCAACACGGAGGAGAGGGTTGCTATCGAGCCAAGGACGGGGGTGATCGGACCGAAATCGAGCGAGAGGATGGGGGTGCTTCGAGAGCTCACCTCTCGTCGCCGCGGCTGCTTCTGCTTCCCTTCCCTTCCCTTCCCGCTCTTTCGGTCGAAGCCAGGAAGACGAAATTGTGTTGGGGGGCCCGCAGGTGGTTACCAATTGCCTTTTAACAGCTGTCAGCCTATGTCACCTCTTCCCTTCCAACGTACACTTGCCTGCGTGTGGGCTTGTGAGGTGGGCCTAGGCCTTGGGCAGAATTCACGTGATCATGTGCAATTAGCCTTCCGCCTTTGTGGGCTTCATTTAGCCTAAGTTACTTGTGTTCTAAATCAAGCTTCTTTAAGTTGGTTTCAAGCTTTAAAAACTTTATTATCATATACAACTTAAAATAATCTTATTACCAAATATATGTTCTATGAAAAATTATCGAAATTAATTTAATGTTGAAGATAATGTCCAACAAGTATGGATTATGGATAACCGACTCCGCTGTCCGCTCCGACCTATTGCTCGCTGTCCTCGACTCCCTATACCATTCTAGT